TCGGTGGACAGCCTGGATGTCTCTGTAAGGTAGTTGCAGTTTATTCTTTGTAAAAGTTTTGTATCACTTTTCCTAAAGTATTCTGACTGATAAGTAAAGCTTTGCTGATCTTCTTGTAGCATTCGCCTTTCTTGTGTAAAGAAATGATTATCTTTCTCAGGCCTTGTGACATTTCTCTTCCATGTGTTGCCATTGCTGACAGTATGAAATGGGAAGGGGTTTTCTTTAAGTAACGCCCTCTTATAAACAACTGCCTGCTGGACACCTGTTTAATGAATAATTAGACTCACCTGTAGTTGAATTCATGTTAAGTAGAATTTTGTCTAAATTTATTTTTGCTCCTTAAACTTTCATTGGAGTGTATTCATTTTTGCAACATGGTCTTGAATGAATGTTAGGAAAAATACTTTTTTGCATGTGCAAATTAGCAAATCTTGTTTGCAGTCTATGGCCCACATTTTTGGGAGTATTTTGCAGTATAGTGTCCCATAGAAAATGTGATTCTGAAAGAAAAGTAAAGGTTTTCTGACAAATTTGTTGAGGTACACATTTATGCTGAGCACTCATTTATGCTGAGCACTATATATCAAATCATCTAGAATGTCAAGGAGAGAGGTTCAATTGTGAAGTTGATTCAGCTGTGAGATCAGGGCACCACTAATGCAGAGCTTGCTCAGGAATTGCAGCAGGTAGGTGTAAGTGCATTGCACACACAGTGAGGTGAAGACTTTTGGAGAATGGCCTGGTGTCAAGAAAGGCAGCAAAGAAGCCACTTCTCTCCAGGAAAAAGATTAGGGATAGACTGATATTCTGCAAAAAATACAGGGATTGGACTGCTGAGGTCTGAGGTAAAGTTATTTTCTCTGATGAACCCCCTTTTCGACTGTTTGGGGCATCCAGAAAAAAACATTGTTCGGATAAGAAAAGGTGAGCGCTACCATCAGTCCTGTGTCATGCCAACAGTAAAGCATCCTAAGACCATTCATGTGTGGGGTTGCTTCTCAGCCAAGGGAGTGGGCTCACTCACAATTTTGCCTAAGAACACAGCCATGAATAAAGAATGGTATAAAAACATCCTCCAAGAGCAACTTCTCCCTACCATCCAAAAACAGTTTGGTGACGAATGATGCCTTATCCAGTATGATGGAGCACCTTGGCATAAGTGATAACTAAGTGGTTTGGGGAACAAAACATCAAAATTTTGGGTCCATAGCCAGGGAACTCCCCAGACATTAAACCCAACGTGTGATCAATCCTCAAGAGGCAGGTAAACAGAAAATAAAACTCCACAAAAACTCCAAGCGTTGATTACTCAAGAATGGGCTGCCATCAGTCTGGATGTGGCCCAGAAGTTGGTTGACAGCATGCCAGGGCAAATTGCAGAGGTCTTGAAAAAGACTGCATAAACATAATGTAATTTGTCAATAAAAGCCTTTGACACTTATGAAATGCTTGTAATTCTACTTCATTATACCATAGTAACATCTGACAAAAAGATCTAAAAACACTGAAGCAGAAAACTTTGTGAAAATTAATATCTGTGTCATTCTCAAACTTTTGGCCAGGGCTGTATTAGTAAACCAGTGCTCAAACATACAATAAAAATATGTGACTAAGTTGCAAGGGGCATACGGCGTGAGAACAGATTCCTTGAATATTTGTGTTTCCCTATAAATATCCATTGTTTTAATTGCAGAAAAAGCACCCCAAAATCAGTATTCATATCTTTTCTGATATACTGTATACTCCTGTGTGGGAATGAGCAAGGTGATTCTGCTGAACTGCTTGGGCTAAATTTCCTTGGAAAAACTTCTTTTTTTTTGTTCTTTATATAAAGGATTTGATTATTATGAAATGGGGTATTTAGAGTAGTTTATTTTCCATTGGCAGTTCTCTTTTAAAAAGGTAGGATTCATTACCGTTAGGAACCATTACATTATAGCAAAAAAAAAAAAATTATATAGCCTATATAATTGCTGTATAAGTCTACAAGATACATTTTAGACATCCTCTGTAATAGAAATTTCAGTTTTGATGAGATACAAGGGTTTAATACATCTAAAGGGATGTAGACACTGCAGTTTTCTCATTAGAACATGAAGAGTTCATCAGCTGATTATAACGAACCAGACTCCCTATTTAGAATCCGTATCCAAAGGACATAATGGAACAAATAGCTTTTTCCTGAGAGTAGAAAACAAGTAGTACTCTACTACAAAGTCTGTTAAAATCTTTGCAATGTACATTGATCACCTAGAGGGAATTGGGAAATTTTGCCAAAATCCCCTGGGCAAAATTTCAGGGAAATAAAATTCTCTATTTTACTCATCTCTAGTCCTATAATGTTGTAACAGATTAAAAAAAAAATCAATAGAAAATAATAGGTCCAGTTTCCCCATTTGTGAAAAAACAGTCAAAGAAGGAACAAAAGAGGGTTGGGATTTTTAAAGGTGCTGATACTTTCTCTCAAAACAGAAACAACCACTCTTTAAGATAAGATCATTGAATTTTATTGTACAATTAAAAAATAATATGATAACACATTGCCCTAAAATAGTAAGATCAAGACACACTAAAAAAATAGAACCTCATGTTTGTTATCAGTATCGCAACCCCCAGAGTGCACTTCCCCTCTCAAATAGATTCATAATGCAGGATGATACTTTACAACAAATCAAGATTTTTTGAGAGAAATGGATCAGTCAGCCTGGGGTTTTAATTAGTTTCTGCTAGAACAACTGCAATATATCCTGTCTAGAAATGTTTTTTTGTTTAATGGCTCCCACTTCCTCCTTGTGCAGTGGCTTGCAATGTGGACGCGTTGTGCTCCATCGTATGCCAACCTGTACCTGGGAGCTGGTGGCAGCATTCCTTATTTTTTGGACAGGATTCGTCGATATACCTGTGCCATGTACATCGACGATATATTGTTTTGAAGGGGGTCACGTAGTGACCTGGATGAGTTCATGAAGATCATAGGCTGCAATACATACAGTCTGAATTTCACCATGGCTTGCAGCCAGTGTCACATTCTTGTACATTCAGATTTCGATAAGCTCTGATGGTCACTTGGTATCTGATTTGTACTGGAAACCATCTGCAGCCAATACCATTTTATATGCGGAAAGTGACCATCCAAAGCCACTCAAACATAGTATTCCCTATGGGCATTTGTCAGGATGGGCTCAGCACAGGTGGTGCTGGGGCTCACCTGCCTTGTGGGCTGCAGTACCAGTGCTGGCCAGCGGGTGCTCTCAGCAGTCAGAATCTCACTCCTGCAATCAAGCCATCACCTGAGGCTGATTGCAGGAGGTGTATTGAAGCAATGGCCAGACCTGCAGTCAGTGCCTTGGTGTTGTTTCCCATGAGCCCCTGTACCTGGTATCCTGTGTTCCTGCATATCTGCCTATCTGATTTGTTGCTGACCCTGCTTTGATCCTGACCTCTGCTGACTTCTCCTGCCCTGACCCCTGGCCACATGTTTTCTCTTTACCCAGTGGCTGATTTCCCCATATGAGGAGGGCTGCACCCCTGAAGCATTTCCTTTGGTTGTCGCTGTCCTGGTACCCTTGGCTTCCCGTTTGGCTGTGCATATCCTGAGGCGCTGGAGAGTACATACGATATCCTGACCCCTGGCGTGTCTGACTTCTCTTGGATACCCTCATTGGATCTGATCTCCTGTTACTGACCCGGCGAGTGACCCGACTATTCTGTTCCTGCTGCCTTGTATCGCGCTGTCCCCACCGTTACCGACCCGGCCTGTCTGACTACGCTTCTGCTCAGCCATCCATCTGTCCTGCACGAACCCATCCGCCTCTTCACATCAGGCTTTTCTCCAGAATATACCTCTGGCGGATCCCTCTATCACGGGTGGGTGTACTCAGGGGCTGCGACCTGGTCTCTGTCTGCTCCAAGTCCATCTCCACCATCAGGGGCCCAGGTGAACAAGCAGACTGGGACTTAGGCTCTGCACTCTGGGGAATCCTATTCCGTGGGTTACTAGAGGTACCGCCAGACAGTGCATTACAGACCCATACGGCCTGCCTGACCATTCCACCTCTCTAGCCCTGACCACGCCTGTGTTCCCACACATTTCTGGTCATACCCAGATCCCTGACATTACACCAAGGCCAGTCCTGACCAGAATTGGCTGCACAGGGAAGCCATTTTGGCTTGTTGTTGTGAAGGATGCATCCTGATGAGGTTGTGTACTTGTATCTGCTAGTCTTAGATGACAGAGAATATGCCTATCAGACTCTGAAGGAGTATGCCAGGGATCATCTGCTAGAGTGCATATGAGTCGCTCATTCTCTAGTAGATCAGGGCACGGAGTTCTCTGAGGTGCAACCATTGATTCAGGCTTGTGCTGAGTTGGCTTCATCTAGTACCCCTGAAAGCAGGAATTACTTTTTTCCACCATTCAGTACGGATCAAGTAGAATCACTGGTATGGTTGTTGGAGGGTGATCCGGATTGCTTCTTGGAGCATTATTCAGCATGTTCACAACATGTGCTAGTGGATTGTATAAACGCAGTGCAGTCTTTGGTCAGACACGCTTTGTGTAAGCTAAGCTTTGTTCAACCAGTACTACAGACATGGTCAGATTTGTTACACCCAGCCTCAGTCAGCTTGCAACAACCCAGTCCTGCTTCTAATCATTCCTCTGCTCAAAGCTCTCTTCCTCCATTTCCCACAGCACCCCCAGTTACAGCCCAGTATACCCTTCTATCAACCACATGTCAGTCCCCTGTTCCCACTCACTGCACCTATCCTGCCTTTAACCCTGTAAAGAGGTCCTCTGTAGAAACTGCTCCCTTCTCTGTTCCATCCTCCAGCTCTTCTCTGTCTTTAGCTGCTCCCTTTGTTTACAGCCCTGCATTTACTTGCAGTGCTTCAGTAACTAAACCCAAGAAGAAGTGAAGATTCTTTCCAACCAGGACCATGCTGCCAGTATCCAAACCGGTCAGCGTGCTGTCTGAGAACCCACCTTCCATTGTCCAGCCTGGTGCCCGCTGTTCAGCCTGATGCCCTGATGCCTGATGACCCAGTGTATGCTACCCAGCCTGATGATCCTATCAAGCCTGATGATCTGGTGCCCGCTGTCCAGCCTGAGAAACCGATGTCTGCTGTCCAGCCTGAGGAACCGATGTCAGCGATCCAGCCTGATGACCCGACCCAGCCTAATGACCCGATCCAGCCTGATGACCCGGTGCCCACTGTCCCGGCTGATGACCCGGTGCCTGCTGCCCTGCCTGATGGCCCGGTGCCTGCTGCCCTGCCTGATGGCCCGGTGCCCTCTGCTCCGCCTGATGTGCCTCTGCTTGCTGCCCAGCCTAAGTTGCCTCTGTCCGCTGCCCAGCCTGAGGTGCCTCTGTCCGCTGCCCAGCCTGACGTGCCAGCTCCTGATGCCCAGCCTGCTTCTGGAAATCCTGTGTCCAGCAACCTGCCTTCCTGTGGTCTCCTTCTAAAAGATAGGCCTATCAGCAGGCGACCCAGACAGTCACTTGATTCCGGCAGTGGGATGTTCAGCCAGTTACCGGACCCAGGTGGTGGAACATTGGGAACAATATGGACTGTTTTGAGCATCCTGAGGACGCTCCTTGAGGGGGGGTACTGTAAGGAATGGGCTCAGCACAGGTGGTGCTGGGGCTCACCTGCCTTGTGGGCTGCAGTACCAGTGCTGGCCAGCGGGTGCTCTCAGCAGCCAGAATCTCACTCCTGCAATCAAGCCATCACCTGAGGCTGATTGCAGGAGGTGTATTGAAGCAATGGCCAGACCTGCAGTCAGTGCCTTGGTGTTGTTTCCCATGAGCCCCTGTACCTGGTATCCTGTGTTCCTGCATATCTGCCTATCTGATTTGTTGCTGACCCTGCTTTGATCCTGACCTCTGCTGACTTCTCCTGCCCTGACCCCTGGCCTGTCTGACTTCTCTTGGATACTCTCATTAGATCTGATCTCCTGTTACTGACCCGGCGAGTGACCCGACTATTCTGTGCCTGCTGCCTTGTACCGCGCTGTCCCCACTGTTACCGACCTGGCCTGTCTGACTACGCTTCTGCTCAGCCATCCATCCATCCTGCACGGACCCATCCGCCTCTTCACGTCAGGCTCTCCTCCAGAATATACCTCTGGCGGATCCCTCTATCACGGGTGGGTGTACTCAGGGGCCGCGACCTGGTCTCTGTCTGCTCCAAGTCCATCCCCACCATCAGGGGCCCTGGTGAAGAAGCAGACTGGGACTTATGCTCCGCACTCTGGGGAATCCTATTCCGTGGGTTGCTAGAGGTACCGCCAGACGGTGCATTACAGACCCATACGGCCTGCCTGACCATTCCACCTCTCCAGCCCTGACCACGCCTGTGTTCCCACACATTTCTGGTCATACCAGAATCCCTGACAGCATTACCTTAGATTGAAACACAATTGCAGCAGAGGGGAGGACTTCATTACCCAGGCTAGGCTAGACTACTTCAGAGCTGCCTCCTTCAGAAAGGCTATAGTAGGAAATGCCTGAAGAGAGTGTTTAATAACACCAAACTTAGTTATGTCCATATATATTTGGACATAGGCACAATTTGTTTTTTCAGGTATTTACCAAAATATATTCAAGCTATAGTTATATAGTACGTGTTTTGGAAAGATCAGCGAGTTCTTACATCAATAACGGCAGCAAAAGGCACTAAAAGGAAACCTGAAACCCTCAATAGCATATATAATCAAAAAGTGCAGCGCTGAAAATATAACAATATATCCAATGGCAGTGTTACTTTAAATAGTGCAAATAGTTCATAAAGTGTAAAGTTCATATATATATATAGTGAGATTATTTGGTATAACCATATGCAGTAAATTATATAAATATATATATTATATATATATATATATATATATATATATATATATATCTGCTCTGCAGCTTTTTTTCACATGGGACTCTGGCTCTACATTGAGGTATTAATTTACAAAGAAAAGGGTGCCCATAGTGTAATAGTATTGGAATTTATTTAGAAAAAGACGTCATCCATGTGGAAGAAATTACATTACAAGCAAAGCTGCAGAGAAAAACACTGACCAGACAAAATCAAAGATGGCCGCCGGATTTTCGTGAGGCTCCGGTGGCGTGACGTCACGGCATACAGCTCCTCCTTGATGAGTTTTGTGCCACACACGTTTGCAGCTCCAGGACCCAGAGGACGGAGATCCTTTCCAAGCTGTATACCCATTCCACCTTAAAGGGGACCTCTGGCTGATTACATCTTATATACTATACTGCGTATTTTAAATGCGCATCTGGTGAGCTTGCATTTTTACCATATTCCCTGCACTTCACCGAATGGAATAAATGTCACATGGAATGTATTTTCACCTCAGCACAGGATCTTCACCTTACATCATTAATTGAGGGCAATATATCACTCTTATATGGAGTTCTAATTTATATATATATATATAATATATATATATATATATATATATATATATATATATATATATATATTTTACCAGATATGGTAATACCAAATAATCTCACTATATATCTGAACTTTGCACTTTATGAACTATTTGCACTATTTAAAGTGACAGTACCATTGGATGCATTGTTATGTTTTCAGCGCTGCGCTTTTTGATTATATATAGTTATATAGTAGATATGGGCTGAAAGTGCACACTCTCAGGTTTAATTTGAGGGTATGTACATCCAAACTGGAGGAAGGGTTTAGGAATTACAGCTCTTAAGAGTAGCCACCCCCCCCCCTTTTTCAAGGGACCAAAAGTAATTGGACATTTGAATCAAAAGCTGTTTCATGGCTAGGTGTGGGCTACTCCTTCATTATTCTTCATCGATTAAGCAGGTAAAAGGTCTGGAGTTGATACTAAGTGCGGTATTTGCATTTTGAATCTATTGCTGTGAACCTACATCATTCGTTCAAAAGAGCTGTACATGCAAGTGAAACAAAAGCAAAAATGAAACAAATCCATCAGAGAGATAGCCACAACATTAGAAGTGGCCAAATCAACGGTTTGGTACATTCTGAGGAAAGAATGCACTGGTGAGCTCAGCAACATAAAAAGGCATGGATGTCCACAGAAGACAACAGTGGTGGATGATCGCAGGATCTTCTCTATGGTAAAGTAAAACCCATTCACCACATCCAGACAAGTGAAGGACACTCTCCAGGAGCTGGGCGTGTCATTGTCAAAGTCTACAATCAAGAGAAGACTTCACGAGAGCAAATACGGAGGGTTCACCACAAGGTGCAAACCATTCATAAGCCTGAAGAATAGAAAAGCCAGATTAGACTTTGCCAAAAAACATCTAATAAAGCAAGAACAGTTCTGGAAAAGCATTCTTTGGACGGATGAAACTAAGATTAATCTGTACCAGAATGATGGGAAGAAAAAAGTGTGGAGAAGGCTTGGAACAGCTCATAATCCAAACACACATCATCTGTAAAATATGGTGGAGGCAGTGTGATGGCATGGGCATGCATGGCTTCTAGTGGCACTGGGTCATTGGTGTTTATTAATGAGACAGAAGCAGCCGGATGAATTCTGCAGTGTCAGCCCAGATTCAGCCAAATGCAGCAAAGTTGATTGGATGGCACTTCAGATGGACAGTGATCCAAACACACTGCAAAAGCAACCCAGGAGCTTTTGAAGGAAAAGAAGTGGAATATTCTGCAATGGCCAAGTCAATCACCTGATCTCATCCCAATTGAGCATGTACAATTAAATTGAAAATGCATAAAAATGGTTGCAGTTCCTAAAATGTGTACTTGATATTTATGTTCAGCCCCTTGAATTAAAGCTGAAAGTCTACACTTCATATTCATTTGGATTGTTTGTTTTAATTTATTCTGGTGGCATACAGAGCCAAAACTATGAAAATTGTATATGGACCCAACTGCAGATCGTGTGAATTTCTTATTTACACACACAACCTTGAACTAAACAACCCACACATCTCATCACTCGTTTCTCTCAAAATCTTACGCTATTGACAAAGGTCCTATATAAACACTGGCATCTTTTGAGAGATGATCCAGTAGTTGCTAAATATGTGGGACATAGAGCCCAAGTTACATACAGATGGGCCAGGTCGTTATGAGACTATCTCACACAAAGCCATATTCAAACCAACTTGTGCTCTGTCTCTTCCGGACATCAACCTTTTATGTGTGGGGGGTGTAACTTTTGTAACTGGATACATGAGGGGAGAACTATTTTTTTTTACCTAATGGGATGTCTTGGACCCCAAAGCACACTACTAACTGCCAAGCGGTAGGGGTGGTATACTACATGGAGTGCTCTTGTAAAGCATTCTACGCAGGTAAAACGAAAAAGCCCTTTTAGAAACGCATAAGGTACCATAAATACTTGATACAAAATGGAAAAATGGTGTCCTCCCATAAGCCGGCATGTTGGCCTGTACCATTGTTTCAATTCTGATGTAATTCGGTTTTTTTTTTTTTGCTTTAGAATATGTACAATGTTCTCCAAGAGGGGGGATGTTGATAAACGTCTCCTCCAATTGGAAACAAAATGTATTTTTCAGCTTGAGGCTACTAAATCACCTGGTATTAATGAGTAGAAGTTTCAAACCTTTTTTTGTAAATACAGAGGACCTTCCAAAGAAAAAAGCTATTCCTAGTCTGAATTACCTGTTAATATAGATTTATTGTATAATTATTTATTTTTATCTCTCGCAGATATGTCCGCTATCTAGTGTGCAACGTGGGATATACAATAGTGCTGGACTTGGGTCCTGCCCTTTGCTGTTCATGGGTTCATGCACAGTTGGATGTGTGAGTTTCACCCTATACATTAAGTAACTGTTGGATCCTGATGGGTTTGGTATCTATTTTCAACTAATTAAGTCAATACTAATGGCATGTGTCACATATATTTATGCCCGGGTACATTGGGATTTGGTCTATGATGTACTTAAGTAGTCTTAGTATTTTATGAAGTGTGTGATATAGGCGCGGTAGTACATTGTGTAAAAATTATTCCATAGGGTCTACTAGGAATTGATATTCATAGTATTTTGTAATTTGTATTTTAATTACTTGCCACAAGATGGCGTGTTTATGTGTTGGCTTGATTTGGGTATAGGGTGATCTCGTGGTGGTACGGGGCAGTGTTTTTTCACTTCCTCCCTTGCTGTCCCCTTTGGGATGTGTGGCAGTGGTGGTTTTGCCCGCTCCCAGGGTTTTGATTGGCGGGGTAGATGCTAACCGCGGTCCCACTACTCAATGGGCGTCTGCACCACTAGGCATGCAAGGCTGACTGGCCATCTCTGCATCACTACTGAGCATGTGGGACGGCTTGGCTGCACATGAGCAGTGACACATCAGTGCAGGCCACCCATTTTTTGGCAACTGGGCACCATGGACATCCGCATTAAGGGGGTGGGAGGGTCTTGAAGCTCCCCTATATATTCCTCAGCATCACTCCTGGGATGCTGTGCAGCGTGACTCCCTGTAATTAAAGGGCTCCCATGAGTGCATTGGGGGGCTAGTGTGTTTACCTGTGCCCTTATACAGTTTTCTTATATTGCTTCTGATGGCATTCCATTCTATATATACTTTTCCATTTAGGTGGTATCA